TCCTATGATATTAATTATGCACCTTGCACTTTGGTAACTAAAAAAATTAAAGTTCATGTGGCAGAAATCAATTCATTTGAATAATAGCCTTGAGAAATCATTATACAGTTTAATAATACGTAAGCAGCTGGCATTTTATTATATGTTTTAGTCTGGAGTTTTTCTCTGATCTTTTTCATTTATTGTTTTTGGTACATCTGTCAAGTATTATTCTTATGAGTGTTCGTTTATAGATACCCATTTAAAGTTATGTGCCTTTTAGAAGCAGCTGGAGAACTGGATCACACGTACTAACTAGTACTTAGGAAAAGTCTGCTTTTGTAAACTTTAAACAGGACATACAAGTATCTTATATAGAATCCCACTAGTTTTATAATATATATGCGATATTATTTATATTTGCTCACAATTCCAGGTGGTTGAATTGCTATCATGGGATATATTAACAAAGATTAATGAGTTTTGCAGGTTTATAGATTTTTTTGAAATATCTAGTCAATTATTTATTAAATTCTAGTTAACAATTCTAAAAGGAAAGAGAGAATTTTCTTTTAGGTACATTTGGAAGAAAGACAGCACCGTCCCAGGTGTGGTAAGTTTTGGCTGTTGAAACTTGATCACACACTGAAAGAATTTTACCCTCTCTCGGAAGTCCAAACTAAATATACCCCATATGCATACTGCCACATCCAAGCAACACTACATCCCTACTACAAAGCACATACCAGTAGCGGTGATAGACTAGAGCTCCAGCCAAGCTCGCGAATTAGGCGTACCTTAATGGGTGCGCTTTTTCATGATGAAGTCTTTGAAGTGGCCATGCTTCAAGGAAGACGGTGAAGGGTTCACCGTGCTGTCCGGGACTTATTCTGCCATTACAACTTATGTGGGAGCTATAGGCGCTGTCTCGATGTGAATTGCCTCAAGACTCCCGACCGTCCAACGCCTGATATTCAATCCCTTCTGCTGGGCTATGAGCATGTGCGCCTGCTGAGGCGACCAGGTCATGTGGTACAAATGTTCTTTGGGCAATCTGAACCAACCCACAAGCTGACACAACGCTAATGTATGCAACCCAAACGAGGCCCATATAGGAGTTACTAGACTACGTCCAGATTGTACGCGTGATTTTCCACCCTGACTAGAGTGCTGCTGCCAGAGAGCCATACAACCTGGTGCATCTGTTTGTGGATAAGTAGGCAGTCCATCTATAGCATACCTGCCCCAGACACGACGACTACTAAACATTGTTGCTCGTCAATTTCCTTAGAGTGTTCTGCTGACTTTCAGGTAATCAGCGAGAGGACTGATCGATTAAGTAAAACAGCTGAAGGAGGAAAATCTGTCTGATGGGTGTGATACTACCTATCCTTCTGTGGAGATGTGCTACTACCAACAATCACAAGCTCGCACGTGGCTGGCTTGCGCTCTCACAGTCACCGCACAGATGTCATACCAAATCTGATTCTTATATTAACAGATCGTCTAATCCATGCAACAAGCAGGTGAGAAAAAGTACCTCTATAGAAGGCTCTAGATCAATAACCTTTTGCACAAGGATTGATTGAAAAGAAGAATTATGACTTGTATTGTAACGCACGCGAGCTCAGTGCTTGTAACTGCCATACCCAAGTCCAAGTCAGAGATGGAATCCTGATGAACCAACCTAAAAGCGCAACTTGGCAAACAATGATACTTCAAAATGAGAAAGGCTAGGTTAGCTGAAATTATACTCAAAGAACATAAGTATCACAGATACCAGAGAAGGAAATTATGCAAAGCCTGAGAAGAATTCAAAATAATGATCTTAAGGAACTCAGTGAAATACAAGAAAAACCAGATAAACAATGCAAAGCTATCAGTAATACAATTCATGATCTGAATTACAAATTCAACAAGACAATAGACATCATAAAAAGGAACCAAGGAGAAATCTTAGAACTGAAGAATAATAAGTGAATGAAATAAAAATACAATCAAGAGCTTCAACAATAAGGCTAAATCAAGCAGAAAAAAGATTTCTGAACTAGAAGACAAGTGTTTTGAATTAACCCAGTCAGATATTAGAAAGAAAAATAGATAAAGCCTGTGAGACATATGGGACAGCATAAGATGAACAGATATTCAATTTTGGAGTTTCAGGAGGAGAAGAATTGAGCAAAGCATAGAAAAGCTATTAATGAAATAATAGCTGAAAACTCCAACTTGTGAGAAGTATAGCTATCCAGAAACAGGAAGCTTAAAGAATCCAAATAGATTCAAACAAAAAGGTTTTACTCAAGCACATGTAGTCGAACTGTCAGAAACCTTGCCACAGCTGGCAGTCATAGTCCGCACGATATTTGTGCTGTGCATTGATGACGAATCCGTTTTGCTCTTGTGTGGTAAGGAAAGCTTGAAAGAATTGAAAGCTTGTTTTACTTTACAGGCAGCTTTACTTGTAATGTAAATCAGAATAGGTAACATATACGTATGTTTTTATTATGTTATTTTTAAATGTTCACAATTTTATTTTGATAAATGAAAAATTAGAAAAGTCAATTCAAAATTAGTTTTATTTCATTCATATCATAAATAAGGAAGTTTTGAATATTACGATAAATTTTTCTTTGGTATTATAAATTCGAAGCATGGGGATACACATAGGCCAACATTACATTGTTTACGATAGTATCTAGTACTACGCCTTTTATTATTTTTGAGCACATACATCTTCTAGGGATTTTCCCTTTTTTAAATCACTATTGTAAGGTGCTGGAAAATGTCTTTCTCTAAAACGCATGAGATTTCTGATGCAGTACAAGGGTTGTATTGCCTTGATTCGGAGTACTGTTGTAGAAGTTTTGTTATTAACACTAAAGTCGATGCTCGGCTGTGCGCCTCCATATCACGGCTGCTGATGCTCAGGTGTGCACGTTCATCCGTGGCTATTGACTATAGCTGACGCTCATACCGAAGTGCTTAAATTGCATTGATAATGCTTTAGGTTGACAACTAATACAACAAAAGCAACAGCCTCAGTTTTTAGGATTGGGAAACTGAAGCTGAAGAACTTAACTTGCTGTATCAAACTTCAGGCCTGGGTTGTACTCTTTTCACATTATCATGCTGCTTTGAATTTATTTTTTTATTTTTTTAATTTTTTGAGATAGAGTCTCACTTTGTTGCCAGGCTAGAGTGAGTACCGTGGCATCAGCCTAGCTCACAGCAACCTCAAACTCCTGGGCTCAAGCAATCCTACTGCCTCAGCCTCCTGAATAGCTGGGACTACAGGCATGCGCCACCATGCCCAGCTAATTTTTTGTATATATATTTTTAGTTGGTCGATTAATTTCTTTCTATTTTTGGTAGAGAAAGGGTCTCGCTCAGGCTGGTTTCGAACTCCTGATCCAGAACGATCCGCCCGCCTCGGCCTCCCAGAGTGCTAGGTTTACAGGTGTGAGTCACCACGCCCGGCCTGCTTTGAATTTTAAAAAATCAAAACATGGATTCACCAAGTCAAAGGCTATAGTCTAAATCTATATTCCCAAGATTTAGAAAATAAAGACTAAATCAAAATGTACCCCCCAAATGTTGCTGAGGTACATGATACCCACTGAAAGTCACAGGTTTTTACTTTTAATAGTTCTAAACATAATGTGTAAAAATAATTGCTTCACTTTTGGACATGGTACAAAATATTTTTTGTACTAGATAAAATATGATTATTATAAGAAACCCCTTATTCAAGAAACATGAAAGCAGGCCACAACTCCCAAACAAATGTGAGTTTAATAAGCCTCAGAGAGTCCCTTAGTTCATTTCCTGGGCTTTCAGTGGCAGGGAAACAAAACTGGGTGGTGGAGTGGGAAAAGCAAGGGGGTGGTTTTGGTAAAAAAAAATTTATACATGTTTTTGTAAAGGTACTATGCTGAGCTGCCAGTTGTGAAGACTTCAAAGTAAAAAGATGTTAAAAGAAGCAAGTAGTCAAAGGCTTTTTATTATGCTCTGCCACCAAGCATGTTGTCTGTCTGGGCCAGGCCTGTCCGAGCCATCTTCCCTCACTGCTTTCCTGCTCCTTAGTTTCTCTTTCCTGGTGTTAGAACCTGGTTCTGCCTCTGTTTTACCCTAAATCTCTTGAAAATATGTTTAATAGTAGTGAGATAGTAGTAAAGGGCATGGGTCTTAGTTTCAGAAAAATCTGGATTTAAATCCTGTCTATGCCACTACTGAGCCACTCACTAAACCTGAGGCAGTCTGTCTAGACCAGGGCACGTTCTAGATCTGCACTGTCCAATATGGTAGCCACTAGCCACTAGCCACTTATGACTGCTGAGCCCTTGAAATGTGGCTAGCGTGACTGAGGAACAGAATTTTTAATTGTATTTAGTTTTAATTAAATAGCCATGTGACTAATGGTGACCATATTGCGGAGAGCAAGTCTAGAAAATGGAGAATTACCCCTCACACGGAGGATCAGCATGTGATAATGAATATAAACAGCCCATATTCAAGGCTATACTATTAAACTATATCCTACCTTGAAAGACTTTCAAAGAAGAAGAGTACAAACAATACTCAAGGACTTAATGTACTGACTTGGCTGGTCTTTGTGAGCATGCCTGGATGGGCCTGATTCCGTCACAAAAGCACTGACACTGGTGCTACTTTCAGACATGGGTATTCAACTGTGACTATTTAAGCACTAAGGATGCACCTGATACAATCTGGTGTAAACAAGTTTGCTTCTTTTCCTCTTGTTTTTTGTCCTCCCTGTGTTAAACAAAACAACTACATATTCAGAAACACATTTTAAGAAAAATTCTTGTGACACTATTTGACATTTCCTTTATATGTTTCCAAATAGAAAATGTTTCTATTTTTCTTCAGTTAAACGAATTATGTGCCATCATTATGTGCCAACTGCTTTAAGCTAAACAGAGACAACATATCTGCATAGGTTAAAGATATATGAAGACTTATTCATTTTTAGAAACACAAATCAAGAAGCACCAATTTCATTTTACAGTGTTTATTATAGTAAAATTTACTGTTGGAAAATGTTAGTGATTTTGGTCCATATCTCATTTTCCATTTGGTTTTAAAACATTTTACATTATTTACAAAATAAACTGTAATTTTACGGTTGTACATAATTTGTTTTTTTTCCTGACCCTTGGAATGTTACAGTTTTAAGTAACTAAAAAACAAAAACATTGTAGACTAAATGTACTGATAAGTACATACCGAACACATTTAATTACCACAGTAATTAAAAAGTTACGATCTTTACTTCCCAAGATTAAAATTCATTAACATGAAGTCATTGAAGAATCTCCGGGATTTCTCTGTCATCCACAATGAGAGTATGAATAATCCCTTCTTTCCTCTTCCCACTACTGACAGCCTTTATATAACACTCATGGCTCCCGATACTGAAGTGAGTTTCAGTCCCGTCATCTACAAATTCACCCTGGACCAACAAAAGAAGAAATTAGTGTTCTAGAAACATTTCTCTTTGTCTATAGCATTAAGACCATCTATAAGAACTGGAAGTATAATGAAATAACATATTAATTAAATGTTAAGCTTTGCAAAAAAGTCTAAGACTTATATTTAGCTGTTTTTACATCTCTGTTATGAACTGAAAGTTTCTTTTTTATAACCCCTACAATCCTTAAGGATCTCAAGTTTCAGGGGAAAAAACATACACCTCATGGCTATGTGGTGTAACATAACATACACTATGTTTTCAAAAATAAAAATAAACATGACAAACCTTTATTAGTTATTTACAATATACCAAGAACAGTTTATATGCATTATTTAACTGCATCTTCACACAGTAACCTGATAGAAGTACTATTATTATCCTCATTTTATAGATGAGGAAATTGAGGAACAGAGAATTTGCTGAAGGCCCCATTCAGTAAGGAATAGAGTGTTCTTAACCACTCTGAAAATATGATTCCTCAGGATATAAGGTGGTTTACAATAAAATACACAGATATCCTCAAACCGAACACCATTAAATCTAGACCTGCTCTGTCCAGAATGGTAGCCACTGGCCACATGTGGCTATTGAGTGCTTAATGTAACTCATCTGAAATGACATATGCTGTTTAAGTGTAAAATATATACTGGATTTGGAAGACTTAGTATGAAACAAAAAATGTAAAATAACTCACTAAAATAACTTTTTATATTGATTACATGTTAAATGATATTATTTGTGATATACTGATTTAAATTAAATATACTATTAAAATTTACTTCACCTTAAAAATTTTTAAATGTGGTTACCAGAGAAGTTACATATGAAGCTCATATTATATATTTGTTATTATATTTATTTTTTATTTCAGCATATTACAGGGGTACAAATGTTTAGGTTACATATATTGCCTTTGCCCCAACCGAGTCAGAGCTTCAAGTGTGTCCATCCCCCAAACGATGCGCACCACACCTATTAGGTGTGGATATACCCATCCCTTCCTCCCCTTTCCACCTGCCAGACACCTGATGAATGTTACTACTGTGTGTGCACATAAATGTTGATCAGTTAATACCAATTTGATGGTGAGTACATGTGGTGCTTGTTTTTCCATTCTTGGGATACTTCACTTAGTAGAATGGGTTCCAGCTCTATCCAGGATAATACAAGAGGTGCTAGATCACCATTGTTTTTTTGTGGCTGAGTAGAACTCCATGGTATATAAATACCGCATTTTATTAATCCACTCGGGTGTTGATGGGCACTTGGGTTGCTTCCACATCATAGCAATTGTGAATTGTGCTGCTTGGGCTCATATTCTATTTCTACTGAACAGCACTGATCTAGAATAAAAAGTTAAGAGCCAAATAGTAGAGGGAAGGAAGGAAGAGGCTTAGAGGATAAAAATGAATTATGCTAGAAAGCAAAGAAACCACAATCACACTTAAAACTTGGCAGCCAAAGCAGGCAGACAGACCACAGTCCCATAGTTAACATCTAACCAAAGAAAGTACAGGATGCATCAGGGAGAGCAGCTCTTTCCTAGCTCTGAGGAGTGTCTCTATCGGAGGTGTGCTGAATACTACCACAAGCATGTCCCTGAATATGGTGTGTTCTTTTCACCCTTTTTATACTGAGCCTTGAAAAAAGACTTTGGAGATCAGGACAAGGGTTAGGTAATACAATCCCTCTAAGCAGCTTCTTGGCAATTGGACAAATACATAATTTTGGTCACGATGCTCTGAGAGTAAAAGAAAAAGGAGAAAATCAGCTGTAACTCACAGGCAGCAAGACCAGTTTGTTGCAGGTGTGTACAGTATTGGGGAAGGCTGCCCAGAGACAGAACTGCCCAAATTGCCCTGGGCTGTAGTTACAACAAGGAGGCACTTGGGTTATAAAGAGGTATTTTCCAAACACTTGTGGTTTCCTGTCAATTACTAAAAAAAAGACACTGTGGATGTCCATTACCTTTTTTTTTTTTTGAGGAGAAGGAAAGTAAGTTTATTAATTTGCCAGCAAATGAGGAGGTTGGCAGACTCCTGTCTCAAAGTACCAACATCTATTTTCACCTCATTTACTTATTTACATCCGCATTCTTAATACTATAAAATGACATTCTCTTTACATGCACACCCTTGAGGGCAGGAGGAAATGTAATTCAAAAGTGCTAACTCTCCATCTAGAGAATTCCAGGGTAGGAAAGAATAGGAAAGACCAGCAGGTGTGGTGTCAGGCACATAGTAGGTACCTGACTCATATTAATGATAATTGAAGCTTTTCCAAAGGAAGCCATAAAATACTGAAGAGATCTCTCTAAGCCTCTCTGCAAAAATGAAGTCTGTATCAGTACATTTAACCCAGAGAATAGCTCAAGCACTGAGGATCAATTTTGAGTGAACCCAGGTTAAATTTCCCAGGACTAAGAAACAGCAAAGCATTAATCTTGTAACCTTTGAGTTCTGGCTTTGCCACCTCCTCAGAAATAGTTATAACACCAAGAAGGTTCTAGGAGGTCAGTGAATAAATTCATCCCAGACCTCCTTTTCTCCAAACAACTCTCCTTATTGTCCTACACCAATAATAATTAAAAAAATGACACAATGGCAGCAACTACAACATGCACCAAGCTCAAATGTGATGAGAGAAGACAGCTTCTCATTATCTCTAGCCCTGGTGTTCGCATCTGAGCCAGCATGAAAGATGGATACCAGGTCGAGTACTTCCTGTTTGGCCAGCAGGTCCCAAGACACATGAGAATGTGCACCTAGTGATTTCAGCTCCTAGACTCACGCTCCCCTGTGCTGACTACTACTGAATTCCAGCTTGAAATTCCTTCCTATAGTCATCCCATCCACAGCAACACAAGCACCTGATAACAAGCCGAACGTACTGGAATCTAGATGAGGATTTCAATGTTCCTGCCCACAGTTAGTCGGGTAACCTCTTTTTTCCTGCCTTGGCACTGCTGGTCTAGGCTGCCACAGCCTCCCAAGCAGCTGCGAATACAGGCGCATGCCACCTAGCCATGCTAATTTTTTCTATATTTAGTAGAGACAGGGTCTCGCTCTTGCTCAGGCTGGTCTTGACCTTCCTGCCTCGGCCTCCCAGAGTGCAAGGATTACAGGCCTGAGCCACTGTGCCTGGCCATGTACTATTTTTTTTTTTTAAATCTTGCTTTTAGAAAAATGTTATCTAGGCCGAGCCCAGTGTCTAACACCTGTAATCCTAGCACTCTGGGAGGCCAAGGCAGGAGGATCACTTGAGCTCAGGAGTTTGAGACCAGACCAGCCTCGGCAAGTGCAAGACCCTGACTGTACTAAAAATAGAAAACTTTAACTGGGCATGGTGGCATGTGCCTGTAGTGGGAGGCTGAGGCAGGAAGATGACTTGAGCACAGGAGTTTGAGGTTGCGGTGAGCTATGGTAACAACACTGCACTCTACCTAGGATGACAGAGCAAGACTCTGTCTCAGAAAAGAAAAAAAAAAAAAAAGAAAGTGTTGTCTGCTTTGCATGTACAGAATAAAGCATTCCTACTCAAAGTGTGATCTGTGGACCAGCAGCATTGGCAGCACTTAGGGAAATGTTAGAATATCCAAGGTGATTTCTGTGCATGCAAGTTGAGGAAGCAGCAGTATATAAAGCACCACTCAGCATGGATAAACACATGAGGATGACATCCTTTGGGGGAAGAATTTTTTTCCTTTCCTCAAGAGAAGAGAACTTGCTATGTTGCCCAGGCTAGTCTTGAACTCCTGAACTCAAGGAATCCTCTGTCCTCAGTTGCCTGAGCAACCAGGACTATAGGTGCCCAGCTGGGGAAGAATTTTTCAATGTGGGGACTCTTTCTAGGATAGAGCGTGGTCCAGGAGAGGAAAGGTAGAGTGTGAGGTTGGTGCCGGCTCAGAACATATGCTGTCTCCAAACTCTCACTGCTCTACGCACTGTCTGGGAAAGGTTTTCGGAATTTGGAGTCAGGAGTACTTAATCTATTTTTTGTTTTTATGAAGCAGACCTTGGTTAATTATAAAATCTCTGTAATTAGGAAATGCAGCATTTCAATGGTAACTTATACCCATGGCACTGAGAGTAATCAAAAGGTCAACTTACTGCTGTCTCCATTTTTTTACCATTGCACCATACATCCATAGTGTCTTTTTCTGTAAAAGTAACAAAAATTTAAAAGTTATAATTCTATCACTTAAAAGTACTTTACATGTCTATTATTTTAAGAAAAGTTTCTGGGTTTCCGAAACTCCATCAATATGCCAAAACTCAATACTTTTTCTTGCTTGGCTTTGAAACTCTCCTAAAATTTGATGCAACTGTATTTATTTTTGTTCACAAACCACAATGAAACAAAACAATCTTATAAGATGTTTTATGGTCCCAATACAAATTGATAAAGTCCTGTTAAGCAAAATAAATACTGAAGGACAATCTTTAAAGCAGGATGCATATAAATGAATGTGAGGAGGGACCTTCCCACACAAAAATGTCCTTTAATATAAGTGACCAGATGATTCACTCTGCCTCCCACACTGATCCAACTGGATGATGGCACAATCCACCAAAAAAGCTGCCATAGGGTTTATACAGGCTATACAGTATGTCAGATTTAGAAATTTAGCCTTCAGTTTCTTAGTGGGTAGCATGATAACATCTATTCCTTTTTATAATGGTTTCACATTTGAGAAAAATTATTTGATCATATGGAAAAAAATAAGTATAACTGGTGGACGGAACAATATCGAACAATATGATACTAAGCGCTGCCACAACACATTTATGCATCAGTTTACTTGCCATAGCTCACCTCAGGGTGGGTGAGTCCCCAGAGCCCCTTATGAATGTCAGTGTCCTGGGGAATAGCAGGAGAGAAGCCTGCACTCATCAAGAAGCCAGAAGATGAGCTTTGGGTATTGTAAAGAAGAGAAAGAAATACGACTTGTGTGTGCATGCTGAGTCCTGGGGTCAGGTCTGAGGTGCCAGTCAGGGGTCTGACTCTGGCAGGCCATTGCTCCAGAAGCATGCTCTAAAGTGGATTCATTTCTCCCTACGCTTTGAGATGGGAGCCTCACTTAGAGAGTGGAGAAAAGCCTTTAGATGGGCTAGAGGGAAAGAAGAGAAAGGCAGAGAGGCCCAGGAGATATGGGTGGGGGTCGGTCACTCCAGTGGCAGCCTGAGTGGGAAGCATCTACAGTCTCAGCTGCAGGGAAACCCAGCTTGTCTCAACATGTGAACAGAGCACACAGTGCTAAGATAAACCACCATGGTGGTGAAAATGGGCATTTTATTTAGCACACTTACTGCACATGTGCATATTCTATAATAGCTTATTGGCACGCCTCTGAAGAACACTGCTAATCCAGAAGCCATAAAAGAAAAATGGATTACATTTGACTAAGTAATAGTAAAAAAAAAAAAAAAAACTTCTGCATGATTGAAAAAAACCACGTACACACTTAGGCAAAGTCATACAATAAGTGACAAACTGGGAAACAAATATTTGAAACTCATAGCACAAAAGACTAATCTTATTAATAAAAAGACTCCCAGAAATCAAAGAGAAAAAGACCAAAAACTCAAAAGAAAATGGGGGCAATCGATGTGAACTGGCATCATCAGAAAAGAAATACCAAAGGACCTCAAATTTAAGGTGCTCAATCTCACTCAATTTTGAAAAAGGCAGATAAAAGCAACCCTGAAATGCCATCTTCATCTAGCAGAATGTCAAAATATCCAAAAGTCTGGCAATATGCTTTGCTGGTGAACTTGGGGGGAAATAGCTAGTGGGAATACAAAATGGTAAAAGTACCATGGAGACCAGCCGGGCAGAAATCTATTACAATGACAAATGCAATTATTCTTTGAATCAGAAATACTACTTTCCCACTTCTAGGAATTTGTACTAAAACAATATGTACACTGTATTTTGACAGGCATGTGAATGAAGCTAGTAATTCAGCATTGCCTCTAACAGCAATAGATTAGAAATTGTTAATTAAAGAACATATCTATCTGATAAAATGTCAAATCTATTACGATTCAGAAGTAGATTCAATGACTCTTGGGAGGTCCTGCAGCATGTTCATCCTGGAGCATCTCCTCTCCCTGCCTACAGATTCCCTCAGCCCACATGACTAGTAGCCAAGAACCCCACAGGTGAGTTCTGAGCAGGTATGTTCTATACACACTTTCAAAGAAGTGAAAGTTTTCAGAACAGAAAGAGAACTTCCTCCCAACATGAAGTTCATCATATTATCTTTCCTCCAGCTGTCTTTATTTTCCTCCCATAGCGTTCAGTGGTGTGGTGACTATCAGACCTAAGAAAGCTAATCAACTCTAGCTTTAGTCCCCTCATATGCCTCACATTTTTTGGGTGGTGAAAAAACATGTTAGATGCAAGCTTCACTATTTACTAGCAGTACCCTCTGGCAAGTTACCACCATTCTGAGCCTTCATTTCCTCAGAGGTAAATGAAGATGACAGTCTTTTCTTACATGCTGTTATAAGGGTTAGGAATAATTTATGCAAAGTGCCTAGTATAGTATCTGGCATATAATATGGCCTCAGTAAATCATGATGTTTTGTTATTAAAAGCTTTTTCTGATTTGGTTCTGAATTCTCAATATAAAATTCACAAAGCTATATAATGTTATTTGAAACTTGTCACATAATATAGATGGCTGTTACATAAGGTTAAGTAAAAACCTTACATTCCTCAACTTGAATTACAATTATCAGTATAAATGCATAAGATATTTTATCTAAAAAAAATTCTCTTTCTCCCTTTACCTATCTATCTATGCATTTGTGTGTATAATTTTTTCACCCTGTCCATTGAAATCTTCGAAATAATAAATGAGCATTCTAAGTGCATGTCCAGATGATGCTCTTGAAATACCATTTATCTCTAAGAGAAACCAGGGCTTCTTAGAGAAATTATGATTCCAGGTCTGAGCAGAAAATGTTCCAAATGAGCCTGGAACATCCTGTTATACCAAATAGCAGGGAAGCCACCAAAGTCTATGGAGGGTGTGTCAAAAGGACTCAGGAGCCAATCTAAAAAGCCCCTCACTAATCAAAAATGAGACAATTTGAGCACCAATAAGAATAAATGCATTGTATTGAAACACATCAAATTCTTTAAATCCATGCGTTAATAATAATTTAAAAAAACACTAAATGATTACCTTTAGAGGAAGAAAAGGAAACAATTCAATATTTTGAAAGCTGGTGAATGAAATGAAAAATTAGCAGTTATTCTGCATTTCCTATACAAAATGTACCACTGTGTAACCAAATAGTAGATGACAGGAAGTTTCTTTCTTTCTTTTTTTTTTTTGAGACAGAGTCTTGCTCTGTCACCCTGGCTAGAATGCAGCTGTGTCATCAGAGATCACTCAACCTCAAATTCCTGGACTTCAGTGATCCTCCTGCCTCAGCCTTTCTAGTAGCTGGGACTCCAGACACACACCACCACGCCAACCTAATTTTTCTATTAATATTTTTTTGAAGAGATGGGGTCTTGCTCTTGCTCAAGCTGGTGTCCGACTCCTGACGTGAAGCGATTCTCCCACCCTAGCCTCCAAGAGTGCTAGGATTACAGGTGTGAACCGTTGTGTCCATGTCCAGCCAGAAGTTTCTTTTCTTCTTATTATTCTTTTTTTTTTTTTTGCAGCAACTGTAGTCTGACAACAGAAGTTTCTATTTATAGAAGCATTTTAGCTAACAAACAAGGAATGATAGAATCAGAATATCACTACTTGTCAACCACTAATGAATTAATAGATCTAGGCACTGAGGAATAATGGTTGCCAACATCAAAAAAAGTATAACAGGCCGGGCGCGGTGGCTCACACCTGTAATCTGGGAGGCCGAGGTGGGTGGATTGCTCAAGGTCAGGAGTTCAAAACCAGCCTGAGCAAGAACGAGACCCTGTCTCTACTATAAATAGAAAGAAATTAATTAGCCAACTAATATCTATAGAAAAAATTAGCCAGGCATGGTGGCACATGCGTGTAGTCCCAGCTACTTGGGAGGCTGAGGCAGAAGGATTGCTTGAGCCCAGGAGATTGAGGTTGCTGTGAGCTAGGCTGACGCCACGGCATTCACTCTAGCCTGGGCAACAAAGTGAGACTCTGTCTCAAAAAAAAAAAAAAAAAAAAAAGTGTAACAAATAAGCATCATGTGTTTCCTGATACAGTAAACTATAAGGTGGTCTTGCCAAAAAAATTAAACCTAAATTTGACTGATTCTTCAGACTCAACTATCAATTTACAGGAAATATAGAAGACAGAGGAACATCAGAGGCATGCAATCAGCAAAATCTAGACCATAGGAAACTCTTCAAGACAAATCAATTCAATTTCTTCAATAAATAAGCTACTCAGGAGTTTTTGGTTTCTTTTTTTTAACCTATGTGCATTTATTACTTGATAAATATTTTTCATTCTTAAAAAAGGTATTTGCTAGCATCCAACTAGACTGTGGACTCTTTAAAGGCATGGACAAGGTCTCTTCATCTATGAATGCTAAATGCTTGGTATGTTAACCAACATTTTGTTCATTTATTATTGTGTAATATTAAATATTAATATTTAAAATATAATGTTTTAATATACTTTGTTTTCTATATTATAATGATTAATATTAAATAACAAATCAATATTTATTAAATGTTATATAATATTTATCCTATAAATATTATCTAAAGAAATGAATCAATGAATTAATGAGATGACCTAAACAGTTTAGCTTAGTGATATGAGATGCAGGAAATACTAGAAGTAACCAGAAGAGAGAAAAAGTTACTTTAAAAAAAATCTATTTTATCTGTACTTTGACCATCTTCATCTGATGCAGTCCTATACCTATTACTACCTACAGAAAATGTACTCTCTGATGAAGCCTAAATTTCTACCTGTCTTTAAAATATACTTATAAAGGGAAATGCAAATAATAACAAATATCTATACAATGTTACCCTTTTTTAACCTAAGTTTATAATCTTCAAATACATCACTATAAAACCTGTTCTAAGATATCATAATATAAAATGGCGGGTTAAATGAATACTTCAATCCCACTAAGCACATTAGAAATACACCTACACTTACACTCCTTC